CTGAACAATGCCGGATCCGGCCCGCCTGCTCATACCAGAGAGCATTCAGTGTTTTTTTTTCATATATTGTATTTTCCGGTTTATATGTGGATTTTTCTTCAACCACCAGGGGGCTTTTGAACAATTGTGAAACTTACTTTCCCTCAATGGAATATATACTCGTCAGTCACCGTTTCACTCACGGTTTTTTCCATTTGCATTCTGGGTAAAAATCTATCCAAAAGTGTCGTTGTCTCCCCCCCGTCGACAAGAATTTCTTTGTTTTTTTTTACTGCAAAAACTAAGACCGGCCCCCGACCACAGAAAGGAAAAGCTATGTGGCCCTCGCAGGAAAAAGTTTGGGGACCCCTGGTTTTCACTGATGAGGCGGCAGTTTGGTTCTTGGTTCGGATTGGCGGTTCTACTTCAGGCAGGTCCAGGGTGCAGCACCAAGACTTGATCCAAACGGCTTCATCTGAAGAACCAAGGTGGTGCTATGGCCTAGTCAAAGGCCAGACTTATGTGATGGAAATACCTCAGAAACCTCAATGAAGACAAACAAGGTTGGAGAGAAAAATGGAGTAGAAATCCAGCAGAACGCCACGGACTGAGTCCAAAGGTCCGAAGGAAGCCGGTTCGGATCTGTTGCTTCGACTTTTACTCAAGGTCAGTAAAAATACTCTGAAAAGGAAACATTTTTTCAAAGCAGTTGCTCAAATAAATGTAACTGGTTGCTGCTAACTCTGGTCCAAACCCAGGACTTTACCCTGAAGCTTAGCTCCGAGAAGCTCAGGGACTTTGTTGCCATATTTACTGACTTTTCAGACGTTCTGCTGTCAGCTGCTCCTCTTCCTCAGTCCGCAGCCACCCGCCTGCAGGAACTCGTCCCACTCCACGTTCACATCACTGATCAATCACATGAGCAAAACTGAGAAATGAATCGATCACCCTTAGCCACAGTGACTCACCGCCAGGGGGCGTGTCTGAGTGAGACGTTTTAGTCCAGAACCGGGGCTGAATGACAGCTGGACCTTGCAGCCAATAGGAAAACTCAACTACAGTACCACCATTCAACCCAAAGAGGGCGGCACTGAGACGGTTTTAGGCAAAGTATTGCAGAATTAAATCTATAAAGTGTCACATTTAACACAAAAACAAGACAGGGCCCTCAAGGAGCAATTTAGACGGCTTATCTGCAGAAGAATGTTGATTTGGGGCTCAGTTGCTCTTCATCGCCCCTCTGGCTCCTCAGAAGTGTTTTTCTTTTAATCACAGTTTCTGCTGCTTCAGGGAGTTTCCACCGGTGTTTTCTCAGCCTCTCCAGTATCTGAAACAGAAGCTGCAGTTCCGGCTGGAGAACCTCCGATGAACCAGAATCTGTTGTTATTTAAAACAAGCAGAACCCGACGGTCCAAACACCAACATTTAGGACAGGGGGAGAAGCTGAACTTTGGTCCTGATTAAACTCCCACTAAAGGCCATAAAGTCCCACAATCAGCAATGCTGTCTCCCCGGTGATGGATTACTGGACTGTCACCATGGAAACGTCTCCCTGCAGGGATTTCTGCCGTTTCACCTGCCGCCCTGAAGGTTGGCATCAATCAACACTGACGGCTGTGCTGTCTGCAGAGAAACATATCGACCTGAGATGAGATCTCCAGGTGGGTGACGGGTCGGCGTGCCGCGGCTGGTAGGATCAGGAATGAAATCCTGCAGGCGGGGTTCAAAGGTCACGTCCTGAACGTGTCTGTGGCTCTAATTGAACAGGATTCAATCGGTTTGTCAAAGAGAACGAGAACGTCTCCTGTGATGAAAGTCTGCCTGACCAGATGTTAGCTTTCATTCAGGATGGGTAGCAGTGGTCATCAACCCTCAGTGGGCGGAGTCAGAGAGTCTGAAGGAACCACAGCAGGTAGAAACGTCACACTGGACCATCATGCTCTCTGTTTTATGAGTAGCTTAGCCTGTTGTAGCACATGCTGTCATTGACACATGGTGGGTACCAACATGGCTGAAATTAGTGCTTTAACATTAGCTTCTGCTAAATGCTACAGTGGTCTAGCACTAGCTTCTGCTAAATGTTGATTTAGTGCTTTAGCATAAGTGGAACTAATGTGTATGATTAGTGCTTTACTGTCAGTACTGCTAACTTTTTAGCCAGCGGTGCCGACCACTGCTCCAGGTCCATTCCTGCATATTCCCTGACTGGTTTACGGATCTCCCTGCTTTTGTTGGAAACTTATTTTAATCTCTGGATCTCCTCAGGAACGTCTGAATGAAAGGGTTAAAAAAGCTGCAGGTAGAAACACTTCAGGTGACGACCCAAGGTCCAATTGGACCATCAGGCTCTCCTTGGACGCTCAGCTTTTGATCCAATGATGAATAAAACGACACCAAAACAAGATAAAACATGTTCCGCCTTGCTCCAAGTCGCCCTGACATGAAACATCTCTTCTCACTGTGTTTACTATAAGTTTGCCGCTCGGGTTAGAGGCCAAACCTTTTCATGCTGTAGACAGAAAATCAACCCCAGTAAGAAGAGTTAATCCTTCATCCGACGATCCGTGAACGACAGATTGAAGCAGGAATGTTTCCACCTGCCGCAGCAGGTATGATGGACCTGCTGGTGAAGGAGTTCAAGGAGAAAATACCTCCTGTTATCCAGAACCAACACTGAACATCAAGTCAAGCTAATGCTACACTGTCCCTCCTCCAGAGGAGCAAGCATGTGGCCACGTGGGAAGGAACAACTGGGGAACCGGGACTCAACACCTTCAACTCGCCAGAATCCTGGAGAACTTCAATCGGTCCGTTTTGAGGTGGGTCCAACAGAACCCAAGGTCCAAGCGTTGCCTTGGTTCCCCAGTTAGGAGATACAACCAGCCAGTCCATCAGAGGAAAACGGAACCGGCGCCAGTGGGCCCGGTTCTCCACTGCTCTTTCCACAAACGCCTGACTGGATGTGGAGCGTCGGGAACATCAGCCCAGTTTCCTTCCTGAACCGGTTCATCTCCATGATCCGACCTCAGATAAGCAGACCGCTTCAGGAGGTCAGAGGTCACCTGACCTGACCAGGTTCTTCCTGTTCCAAACCAGGAGGTCCGGATGTGCGAGAGACGATCAGGGAGGATCTTGGTCCAGGAGATCAGCTCCTCCACCTCTTCCTGTGGATCCAACCAGAGTGGAGGTCAAACTGGTTTGTTTGACCTCAGGCTGCAGAACCCAGAACCTCCGGGTCCATTCCTGCAGACTTCCTGCCTGGTTCTGCTCAGCAGAGGGAAGGAAACTCTGACTTTACTGGTCCTCATCCATCCTGATTCATCATCTGTAACGGATCTGGACTGAGGTTCTCCAGAGACGGAGGAACCCCACCGTGCCTCCACCCGGACCTCCAGGCTCAACGCTGTCATTCCTCAGAACCGGGCTGATGTTCCCGACGCCGAAGCGTCTAATTTGCACCTCAGCGAAGCGCCTGCAGGTGGGGATTTTGTCGGAACAGGTCTGGGTAAAGGTCAGCTCCACGCCCAGCGCCTCGCATTCCTGCAGCCTCGCCTCCCGCAGGAGCTTTAAAAGCCACGCCGCCTCCTCCGCTCCTCACTCTCCTCTCAGAGACGCAGCAGCCGTCATGTCTGCCACCTTCATCTCCCGCTCCATGCGCTCCTCCGCCGGCTCCGGCGGCTCCATGAGGGGCTTCGGAGGAGGAGGAGGGTTCTCCTCCTTGAGGACTGGCAGCATGTATGGAGGAGCTGGAGGCTCCGGGGTCCGCATCTCCTCCGTCTCCTCCTCCATGGGTGGTGGAGGTGGAGGTTTCTCCATGGGTGGTGGAGGTGGAGGTTTCTCCATGGGTGGAGGAGGTGGAGGTTTCTCCTTCAGTGCCTCCAGCATGGAGGACAGCCTGGTGGGCAACGAGAAGTTCACCATGCAGAACCTGAACGACCGGCTGGCCTCCTACCTGGAGAAGGTCCGCAGCCTGGAGAAGGCCAACGCCGAGCTGGAGCAGAAGATCCGCGGCTTCGTGGACAGCAAGGTGGGGCCCTCCACCCGAGACAACAGCGGCTTCTTCACCTCCATCACCGAGATCACAGAGAAGGTGAGGAGAACATGAAGCGTCTCCTGGTGCAGATCCTGCCGCCGGTCTTCCACCGATCTGAAGCTGCGTCTCTGGGACTCATCCTGATGCTTCATCTCTTCTTCTCTGGAGTTTTTCCTCCTCCAGCTCTTCTCCAGTCTCTGATCTTCCAGGATTTTAATTTGGTTTTCTTCAGGTTTCTTCTTCTGGTTTTCTTTCCTGAAGTTATGATTCCTGAACCTGGAAGCCTGACTAGAAATCAGTGGCAGTTTTCTCCAGGTTTTCCTTCTTTAAGGACTTTTAGGATTCTTCCATAGTTCCAGATATCAGTCGGATAACGTCCTGCCAAGGTCAACCGGTTCCTCACCATCAGCAACATTTTGTTATACGTCTTCCACCTCGTGAAGGTCAGTTCGTTAAGGCCTTCCAAATTGCTCTGGTCATCTTGGAAAGGTCAGCAAAACCCGGTTTAGCTCAGCAGAATCAGCTGGTTCAGGTTCTAGTTTATAAATCAGCTTCAGTGTCTCAGTGAATCCAGATTCCTCGGTTTCCTTCCAGCTTTAGTTTTATGATAAAACTCTGCCTTCCTGGAGAGCCGCAGTGAAGCTCCAGTCTGTCTCCATCAGAGCTCACCTGCTGCCTCAGCTGTTCACCTCAGACTTCCTGTGTGCAGATCCAGGAGGCCCTCCGGGTGAACGGAGCCGTCCACCTGAGCCTGGACAACGCCCGCCTGGCCGCAGACGACTTCAGGACCAAGTGAGTCCTCCGTCCGCCGGGCCAGGTGTGTGCCGTGCGGAGAGCCTCAGCTGACCTCCTGTGTCTCCTCAGGTACGAGAACGAGCTGGCCATGCGGCAGTCGGTGGAGGCCGACATCGCCGGGCTGCGGCGGCTCCTGGACGAGCTGACGCTGTCCAAGTCGGACCTGGAGATGCAGATCGAGGGCCTGAGGGAGGAGCTGGTCTACCTGAAGAAGAACCACGACGAGGTGAGCGAGTCGGCGTCCGGGTCGCTGTGGGAGAGTTTCGTGATGATGTCATCGTGTGTGTGTGTGTGTGTGTGCAGGAGCTGGTGTCCATGCGGTCCCAGATGAGTGGTCAGGTCCATGTGGAGGTGGACGCCGCGCCGGCTCAGGACCTCACCAAGGTGATGGAGGAGATCCGAGAGCATTACGAGTCGGTCGCCGCCAAGAACCAGAGAGACCTGGAGGCCTGGTTCCAGACCAAGGTGAGCCGCATGACCTCACTTCCTGTCCTCTCCTTCAAACTCTACCTGTACAGAGGAAAACTGTCACTGTAATTACAACAAAGGGACGACATTTTTCTGTAACATCAGTCAAGTTTAGAGGGTTGGTGTGGATTAGGTTCTGGTTCTGGTTCTGGTTCTGGTTAAAAACAGTTACTAACCAGGATGGAAATCAGTACAAAGTCCTCCGTGTGTGTGTGTGTGTGTGTGTGTGTGTGTGTGTGTGTGTGTGTGTGTGTGCAGACAGAGACTCTGAACAAGGAGGTGGTCTCTCAGTCGGTGACGCTGCAGGAGTCCAGGAGCGAAGTGACAGAGGTCAAAAGGTCACTGCAGTCTCTGGAGATCGAGCTGCAGTCAATGCTGGGCATGGTGAGGACACACACTCTGACACACACACACTGACACACACACTCTGACACACACACTGACACACACACTGACACACACACTCTGACACACACACTCTGACACACACACACAGAC